AAAGAGGGAATCTAATCCTTATGAAAGGAAGACCAAAAAAGTGGCCTCTGATGGCGGACATATCCGGAAATGCGAATGCGCCAAATTTAAACTTTCCGACACTTATTAACAGTAGCTATATAATATTTTTCAGAATGTGTCTTAGACGAGAAAGTTTTAATTAATCATTAACGATAATAGTCTAAAATGCGACACAATAATTGTTAAAAAACTTCAATATAAATAAGATTTCATGTGACATTTGGGACAAACAATAACATAACCCAACTAAATTTGATGTCAAACAAGGAGAGAGAGACTCTCTTTCCTTGTTTAATGTGGCCTCTAAAGATCGCACTTCTTGTCTATTAACAATATTTTTTGCCCCCAATACCTTTACATTCCCTCTTTTGTCTTTTTTGCTCAATGACTTGTACTGTCTATTGTATGCTTTCAATAAAATGGGATATTTTATCTTATTATCTGCAGTAGGTGTGAGCATTAAGGAACATCTTTGCCACAGACATTGAAAGTTAATTTAAATACTGATTATAACTATCAATAAAACTTATGGTACTGAAGCTTAGTATGTGCAGCATTTAAAGGTAGAAATATGTTTTAATTTGAAATCTACTGATTATGTATTTATATGTCGTGTGTTACTTTCATAATTAAAAAATATGTGATTTAAGTCTGCGATGAAATGATTGTCGAATTAACAAAGTAACTTGCCATGTTCTCCTATTTTCGAAAGATGTGCAAGAAATTTGCCATGATTTAGTCACAGGCGAGTTAGATTTGCTAGAACCTCTTTATTATATATATATACTCGTGTATCAGCAAACCATTCAACTTCATTGGGTTATCAATTTTCAAGCATTTGCAGCATAATTCGCTTTTGTACTTCCATGTTTTTCAACTTTATTTTTATTTTGATGAAATTAATTTGATTTATGACCCAATTTATTGTAAGTAAAGCATTTGGCACCACAGGCATTTTGCACATGACCTAATTTACCACATTTAAAAACGTTTTATTTGATTCTGTGTAGCACTGAAAGATAACGCCGAGACAATTTTCACAACTAAGTACCTATATTTCTATTTATACTGAATTCTATATAGTATTCAAAAATATATAACAAAAAGAACTGTTTTTTATATGAATGCAAACGAAAAGTTTAAAAATTAAAGGAATAACGCAGAAAATACAAAAAATCGTCGATATTTGAATTAAATGTCATTAGTGTCAAAATGTCATAATTTAGTGGACTAAACTTGCCTGCCGTTGAACCAATTACAAGCAAGCATTAAGGCTCTATAAATTTGAATTACTCCTCCTGGTTAAAAAACAAACCATAGTACTTGGCATTGAATCCGTATTGTTATCTTAATAACACTCATATGTCGCTAAATAGTTCTGAAAAGTACTGTTTTTTTATATAAATGCAAACGAAAAATCTAAAAATGTAACGAATAAGGCAGAAAATACAAAAAATCGTCGATATAAATTTTGAATTTTAAAATTTCACAAATATCATTAGTGTCAATATGTTATAATTTAGTGGAGTAAACTTGCCTGCGGTTGCACCAATTACAAACAAGCATTACGGCGCGTAAAATTTGAATTACTCCTCCTGGTTAAAAAACAGACCATAGTAACTTGGATCTCTTTATTTATTTATTACCACCTGCTGCAGACTAATTTATAAGGTAAAATCACTTATTTGCCATTTAATTTAAAATCAATAATAGATTTGTACTAACATTTTTGTACAGCAACTAGTACAAAATAAAAATGAAAAGTGTAAATTACATTTACATTAAAAAAAATCAAATAAATTTACTTTTGTTATCAAAACTTTACTAAAAAAAAACATTATATTTTGAGAATATTATTTGCAATAATATGTTTCTAAATAAAGAGAGATTTATTTTTATTTAAACTTTTATACAAGATTTTTAGATGAGAACAGTGAAATCTCTTGTTTTTATCATAACTCAAGTGTTTTTACATGTACCAAGAAATAGAAATTTAAAACTTTTTTATTTTTATGTTTAAGAAGCAGATGTTTAAAACATTTATATCTTAGTTTTTGTTACATATATGTTTGTTTTGTATAGATCTTCCTCTTTTTCTAAATGTGACACGGATTACTGTAGAGAACAAACCGACGCTGGTCGCATACATTAATTTTTAATAATTAATTAAATAAATGGAAAAAACGTAGAGATTGAGATTTTCTTGCAATAAAAATTCAAATATGCAATGTTTTTATTTCTATAAATAGTTGACTGACAAGATTATATAAATAAATAGTTTATTTTATTTTTGTATATAAAAATAAATTTTGTGAAACAATTATATTAGTTTTTGTTACTTTCCCATTTAACCTCAAACCCTTTTGTTAACTATAATAAATAATCTGACAACTGAAATATTCAGATTTTCCAGAAAAAACTCTAAAATAAGCCTACAATAGACGTAGATGCCACAGGTAGTACTTAGAAGAAAAATAAAGTACGAGAATTTCAAAAAGCTTCCTATACACCTCTTCCTCCTGAATATTTATTTCTTCATTTGTCGTCACCTTGGTGTTGGTGGTTCATTATCGTCACCTTAAATAAATAAGGATCGAAAGTAGTCTGCCCATGTTTCCTTCTGAATGTGTTTCGTTTTTATTAGTACGTTCATCTCTTTTCTTTGCCCTTGATCATTCTCCATATTTCTTTTTGTGTTCCGCAGACGTCGTGTTCTATCTGTTTTAAGAAACTCTGTCAGTAAGAACACTGCCTTAGAACAAAATAATAGAACAAAAAGAATTCCTCAAGAATGGAGATCAAGCATCCTAATACCTCTCTTCAAAAAGAGAGACAAATCGGACCCGGAAACTGACAGAGGTATTAATTTATTAAATACAACACTAAAATTAACAACCAAAGTGATAACAAATAAACTAAATGAAATTAAAACACTAGCAGAGGAACAACACGGTTTTAGGTCGGAAGATCATGCCTCCTCCTCCTAAGTGCCTTCTCTATTGAGGTTGGCGATCAATATGGCAAATTTCTTTCTGTTCTGGACTTGATGGATTAAGTCATTTCTTGTTGTGTGAGTCCAATCTCTGATGTTTCGGAGCCAGGATTTCTTCTTTCTTCCTATACCCCTTTTACCCTCGATTTTGCCTTCTAATATTACCTGGAGCTGCTCAAATTCCTTATGGCGCATTATGTGTCCTAGATATGACGTATTTCTAATTTTGATTGTATTAACCAGATGAGGTCGTGTGTTCATTATTTCCAGTACCTCTTCATTTGTAGTTTTGCTGGTCCAGCTTATTCTTAGCATTCGGCGGTACATCCACATTTCGAATGAATTCAGTTTGTTGACGTCATACTGTTTTAATGTCCAGGTCTCACAGCCATATAGTAGTAGAGACCACACATAACACTTTAGTGTTCTTAACCTTATTGTGATTGATAGCTTGGGGTTACAGAGCATTTTACGCATATTCATGAAGCCAGATCTTGCTATTTCAATACGTCTTCTAATTTCTTTGAGTGGTCTAGCTGACTGTTTAGCTCTCTGCCCAGGTATATAAAGCTTTGGGAGCTCTAAAGGGTGATACCATTGATTTGTATGTTGGGTGTAATTTGTTCATGGGGGTTCTTGTGGAATACCATGATTTGGTTTTGGAAAGATTAATATCCAAACCTAGTCTGTGACTTTCTTCTGATAGTATGTTCATCGATATTTTTAGTTGGTCTTCTGTTTCTGCTAATACTACGGTGTCGTCGGCATATCTTACATTGTTAATGATGATTCCATTGACTCTGGCACCTTCAGGGCCATCTTCAAGAGAAGCTCTGATGATATTTTCGGCATAGACATTAAATAGAAGAAGGGACAGAATGCACCCTTGACGCACTCCTCGTTCTATGTTTACATAATTGGTATTTCCGTTGTCTGTTCGAACACATCCTGTGTGGTTCCAGTATGTATTGCTTATTATAGCTATGTCGTGTCCGTCCAGCCCTACTTATTTTAGCACCTCAATCAATTTTTCGTGTCTAATGCGGTCGAAGGTCTTTTTATAATCGACAAAGCACACATACAGCTGTTTTTGAACCTCGAGATACCTTTCTGCCATTAGTGTCAATCCCATTATTGCTTCTCTGGTGCCTGTACCTTTCCTAAAACCATATTGAGAACGACCCAGGTATTCTTCACACTTATTGTGAATGCGGTTATAAATTACTTGCATAAAAATCTTAGCAGCATGACTCATTAGGGATACAGTTCGATGGTCTTGATCGCACCGACGCTATATTTATAATGAGCAAGTGCAAGAGAAATCATTAGAATACAACAAACCGACTTATCTATGTTTCGTGGACCTTAAGAAGGCATTTGACCGGGTCAAATTAAAAGACTATATCCACTTACTGTACGCAAGTGAGGTACCTCTAGGAATAATCAACACGATCGAAAATATCTACCACAACAACACAATAAAAGTAAAAGTAGAAGAAGAATAAACCGACCGTATTGAAGCTGGCAAAGGATAAGACAGGGAGATTCCCTGAGTCCTCTTGTTCAACTTGAGTATGGATAAAATAAAAAATAATAAGAAGAAAAAAAGGATACCAAATGGGGGATAAAGTATCAAAGTATTTCTTCCAATACCTTTTGATATACTTTAATTTGATGATTTTTTTTTTGTTTTCTTTGGTCTACGTTTGGCTATTTTAAATACCCTTTGCCCTCTTTGGTGTCAAGTTGACGTTATAGATTTTTAATGCTTTAGCTTCTCCTTCAGCTAAGTTCGCATCCTTTCTTGTCGCTAATTTCCTTGCCAGTCTATAAAGTTTTTCTCTTATGGTTTTATCTTGTCTCGAATAGTCTTTTATACATAATCACTCTTAATTGTGAACATGTGACTACATGTTCACCTCGTGCGGTTGATATATTAAATTAGCAATATTGGTCTTTAGTATAAAATAGGAAAACAAAAATTACAAATATACCACTAATTTATTATATAAAAATTTATTTTAATATTTCAGTTTTATGCTCATTTGCATTGATGCCATAATGCAGTTCATTGCCCTTTTGATACATCCACGCCATTTTTTTAGAAGTAAAATAGATCCCAGGTTCACCATTTTTGGAAAGGGTTATGGCTCCTAAAAAATGAAATAGTTAAAGAATTAGCATCACGGGATTTACTATATATGCTTTATACGTAATTTTCAAAATTATGAAAGTCTTTATCAACAATTATTAACATTAATTTTTACTTATGAAGTATATATTTATATTTTTTATAGATATCAGAAAATATTAAAGAATACCATCCAGAAAGGGGCATCAGAATATTTTGACTATGTTATTTCGACTAATAAATGAATGAATGAACATTTTCGACGTATAACCAAAACATAGAGGCGAAAAAATTAACTCAATGATACAGATTTATCACTATATCACTGTTGTGGCAGTTATAGATAATATGACAATTATGCAATTGGATGTTGACATTCTAGAAGAATATAACACTTGAAGGAGCAAACAAATAAGAAAGGACAACTCCAGTGGTTGGCCTTGGAGGCCAGTAGCACGCATCTAGCATGTTACTTAAAATTTAACGAATGGAAACGAATGATTCAGCGCACACCAAAATGACAGTGGCGTCATTCATTCTAATCATTTGTTTCCATTGGTTACATTTTAAGTAACATGCTAGACGAGTGCTACTTGCTACGTGCCACTTGCCACGCCAGTTTGGTGGGCGCTCTCACTTAGAATAGCTCTTTTATGTATTCTTCCCATCTGTTTATTTTAGTACAGTACTAATAGAAATAGAAATACACACATAATAGAAACGATACAGGCATTAAAGAAAGCTAAAATATGTCGTAAGTTCTAGTAATGTAAATAATTGTTCAGAAAGAAAGAAAATTTGCAGCTAAGAAATATTGAACAAAAGTTAAACTTAGATATGGGAAATTATTCATAATATGCTGAATACGCTTAATAGCCGAGTTCACAATATTTCAACACTTACCCGCAGTATTATTCAAACGTTTAGTCATTCTTTTCAAATTATTTTCGGTTGCTGCTTGAGCGGATTTGCCATTTTCTATATCCTTTATTATGGCAATAGCTAAGCAATATTTAATGATAGTGTCTCCATGGCCTGAAATTATTACAAAATATATTACTTTATTATTTATGGAAAACAACTCAACCAGACATAGAAGCAAAGATAATGATAATTAAGTTTAATTTATTAATGTTTATATTTTGAGAACGATTTCCGAAATGGAAATTGAAACGTCAATAAATTTATTTTAAACTTCAATTGTCGTTTCCCATTTTCCTCTTCTTGTTGTAGTGCCTATCTGTTTCGGATGTTGGCGACCATCATGGCAATCTGCACTTTGCACACTGCTGCTCTAAAAAGATTTGTGGTTGTTGTGTTGAACCACGTTCGTATTTTTCAGCAAGGAAATCCTTCGCCTTCCTGGTCTCCGTTTTCCTTCTATTTTTCCCTGCAAGATTAGTGGCAGCAGTCCATATCTTTCGCTGTTCCTCATGATGTGACCGAGGTATTCGATTTTGGCTTCCCATACCCATTAAAATAGTGATTGCTTTAAGTATTTTGGATATGTAACTAGAAGAAGAGAAGACATGGGACCAATGATAGTTAAAAAGGAATGTAGCGGGAAACAGATTCAAAAAAGATTTCAGTTCGGACTAAATAAAGGACACGACTGGTTACTCATTCTCCTAAGCTAAACAACACACTGAGAAAGAGAAAATTGGACAGCAATAGTCAAACGAATTACATAACGCCACTACATCCTTAAATTCTTGTCTTTAAGAAAAGTAGCACATATCTCTGAAGCCTAAAAAGTGAATGAATGGTGAATGGTCCAAGCCATTTTGTGCCTACTTACCAGTAGTAGAAACTGCTCCAAAATCATTATCGGCGTAAGTACCACTACCTATTAGGCTAGTATCACTACATCGTCCAACCATTTTTCCATTAATGCCTCCTGTAGAAGTGGCTGCAGCTAAATTGCCCTGACAATCCAGGGCTACTGCACCAACGGTACCGACATCTCCTGGATTCTACAAAAAATAATCTAGGTATCCCATTATTTTATATACTATGTATTCCTAGATTCAAATGATTAAATATATAGTATAGTACACAGAAAGCAACCCGTTTCTAGTATAATTATTTCGAAAAAATTTTCCTGCCTTTTTTATTAATTAATTAATTTTCATTAAAAACTTTGTTTGCAAATAATAATATATAAACGATTATTATAAATATATATACAATTTTACCTAAGTTGTTAACAAACTTCATGTGACTAAATGTTTTACTTTAAGTTACAATTAATATTGCCTATCAGCACGTGTACTTGGTTATATGGAGGTCGGGAAGAGACATTACATGAGTCCCATCATCAAGTTTGTTTAAAAACTTAATGTACCGGCTGAGTTGGAGAATGATTATCAAAAATAAACAAAACGTTGTCTTCGGTATTGTACTGTTGTCTGTATTTTTGTACACTTCGAATGAAAATAGAGTTGTAACATTCGGTAAAATTATTTGTATTCATCTATGATCTTCTTTGACTCTTTTAAACTACAAGTAGCTGCTTAATATTTTTTAAACATCGCCGGTTTTTTACTAGTTCGGTTTTTATTAGGTTATGGTCAATTTTGTACTCCGAAATATTTGTACATATCATTTTCGCCCATTTCCTCGATGTTTTGGCCATCTTGCATATCGAAACCTCCGGGCATATAACCAAAGTGGACACAAGTCCGCCTGGAAACGGCCCCGATTGTTTGGGATATCTTTAGTTTCGATATTATTTTCACCAGGTACTTAAAGGTGAATTAAGTCTTCCACTCGGTCATTATAGATTTTAAAAAGGACACTATATTATTATCGACTTTATATATTTTCAATATGTCTATCAGCCATTCATGCGGCACTGAATTAAAGGCCTTCTTGTAGACATGGAACCCTTAGCGCATCCTTTCTGTTGCCGCTCTATGATATTATTTAGAGCACAGTGTTGTTAGATCCGCCGGGCCACACAGGATGTCACCAATTTGTACAAAGTTCGAAGACAAGTAATTGGGCGGTACTTGGCTGGATCTTGGGTATTATTTTGTTCCTTTGGTTTTAGATAAGTGGTTCCCTGTGTAAGAAATAATGTTATTTCCTGTGGATTAGATATAACATAATTATCAACATTGACAAACACTCATGAACACTCCAAAACTTCTTTAGCCAGAAATTTTAATCTCCGTCTGGTCCAGGAGATTTCCAGTTATAAAGCTCGTTGATGGTATTTGAGACTTCTTCAGTGGTAAAGGGTTCGTAAGGAACATTATTGTAATGCTGACAGTTGTTCGTTGTGTCTTCAATCTATCCATCATTGGTGTTACGAGTAGCTGGCATTGAAAGTTGATTTCCCCAAAACTTGTGAATTTCTTCTTGGCTTGGATATGATTTATTTATATATACAGTTTCTTAGAAGAGTTTATTTTGGTAGCGGTATTCTCCGTAGTGGTTTGGTAGCGGTTTATTTTGGTTATTCTCCTGTTGTGTATTATCAGTTTGAGTTTCTTGTATGAGAAGCTCAGGAATCTGCTCAATAAGGATTTCATTAGGGACTCGGTCTGCAACTTGCACTAGGTTATGAATCTCCCGTTCGATTTCGCTTTTGATAATGTCGCGTCTAGTATCTTGAATAAGATTGTTTCTTATAATTACCCGGTATTGGTTTGCTACTCTTTGTTCAGATACTTGGATTTCTGGGTACTTCCTGCAAAATTCGGCATACAGTTGTTGTCGATAGCCGATCGTTTCTTGACCGAGGTTTTTCGCCTTATAATAAAAGCGCAACATATTTTCATTTATGGATACAGTCCATTTCATGGGCTGCCTCGGTCGTCTCGCTTGAGTGAGCGTTGGCTGATGTTCCAGTGCAGCGCCTTCAGCAAGTGGAGCCAAGTAGATGATTGTATGACAGGGGCCAGCCTCCTCAACACCCTGTCACCGACGTCCCACATGCTGTCACGCCTAGCGCCGGCTCCAGACATGCCCTGACAATCCCCAGGCAGCGGCCCTAAACATAAATTATTATACTCCATTTTCATAGTTGGGGATTTTATACCTACTGTCAGGTGTCAGTTTTTGTTCCTCATACGCAGGGGGCCGCGCCTGATAGAAGAACTGACAAAAAACTCCCACAGGTAATTAATATTATATACATTATTTTTATTATATATATCAAAATGGTTTTCATAGCGTAGTATGCCTTTTCGTTCCTAATTGGCTCTCTTTTTTATTTTGGCAGTTTTCTTCTCTATTATGTCTTTTAGATATCGCCTTGACGATGCCCTATATCCCTATTGTTCCGGTCTTTCCCGTTTTGGTTTCTCTATAAGGGTCCAGTCTAATATTCTTTTGGGAATTCTGGTTTCTTCTATTCATCTGATATGTTCGTACCGTACAAGATACTTTTTTCTATGCCTTCTATTATATTCCTTTGTTCTCCCCATTTGTCTGTAGTACAAATTAAATTAAATATAATTTGTGGAAACATAACCTACCTTATGACCAATTTCAGTGAGATCTCCTCCCTTGCGTCTAAATTCTTCTAGAGCTTTTTTAGCATCTGGGCTAACTAAACTTCTTGGATCAGTGGTTGGAAAGCCAAGTGATTTGGCGAATTTAGAAGCTCCCTCTGCTGCTAGTAAAACATGAGGTGTTTGTTCCATAACTATGCGAGCTAAACTATAAAAAAACTGGATATTAACGTATACGATAGAAATTCTGTTTATTTTACTGCAGGATATTTTGATATACTTAAGTAATTTATTACTATTTTTATCAAAAAGATAATACAATATAATTTACCGCTACATATGGCCTTTGTTGACGAAAAAGCGTTCGATTTCATTTAACGCTGGACAATGACGGAAAAATTAACTATGGTTTGTTAGAACAGTGCGACGCATAACTCAAAGTCAGTGGAACGTCGCGCACGGTCGTCGAAATCAAAGGAATGGTTCTCCAGGATAACGGTTTGTTAGGTTCTGCTAAGCTGCGCGCACTGCAGAGTGATAGCCGTGTACGTCGACGGTGTGCGCTGGAATTAATTGCGATTTGATTTGGACGCAAATGTTCAGCTAAGCTCACAGCGTACACATATAATTATTAATATTGTAATAATTAAGTGATGCCTTCTGTTGTAGGGTTTTTTAGTAATAGATATCATCCCTTATAAATTGTAACAGTTCCAAATAAATCCCTGGAAAGTCTAAAGTATTCTCGAAATTTTCTGCATTCTGTTAATTTAAAAACACCTTCTGTATTACGACATGAAAAAATTTCGTTTACATTTTTATTTCTTTTATTTAGATTTGACATTATCAACTCTTCTTCTTCCTCCTCTTCTTGGAGTAATAAAATTGTTGCGTTTAAGTTTGCGAGAATTTTAACGTGAAACTAGTTTCTAAACTTATTTTGTCGAGCGCGACAGAATATATGTATGCGAACTAATCTAACAAACCGACTCACCCAAAACTGCCTACAACAGATTCTGTGTACGTGTATGCCGTGCGTTGCGCAACGGCGCAATGTTCTAACAAAGAGTATCTACACTAATAGACTACTTATGTAAAACTTGCATTCCCAATGAGAAGAGGTATTCGACAAGAAAGCACTAAGATACAACAGTTGAAGATCTTGGCGATGGAAACGATTTTTAAGAAACTAAACTGGGAAAATACAAAATAAATATATATGGTATGGAATGAACAATATGAGATGCTCAGATGATATAATTGTACTTGCAGAACGGAGATCTGAAAACAAGGGTAACAGAGTTAAAAGAAAAATCAAAAGATATCGGTCAAAAGATAAATGTTAAAAAAACAAAAATAATTAGTCCAGATGATAAAAAAATCTTAATAAATAACAATCAATTGGAAAATGTAAACTAATACAGTTATTTAGGCCAACATAACGATAGAAGAAGAAAAAGATCGAAGTAGGCAGGAGAGGGAGATTGGGATGAGCCGTCTATAGTCCAATGATATATATCCTAACAAATAAGAAATTTTGATGATAGAAAATGATGTGCAAACTTTGATACTAACAAACCAAATAGTAAACAAAATAGAAGTTGCCTAAAGATCATAAGAGAGGAATGTGAAAAGAAGCAAGAGAGAGAAGAAATAAGCAACTCAAAGAGAGAAAGGGAGAGAGGATAAAAGTAACTGATGTAACAGAAAAAATCACAAATCTAAAATGGGACTTCGCAGGACGCATTGCAAGAAGAAAAGACCAAATATGAAACTGAAAAATCTAAAAATCTAGACCTTGAAATGGAAAAGAAGAGGAAGACATAACGAGATGCCACGATGACCTAAAAAAGATAACACGCCGAACGTGATTAGGAAAAGCAAACCATAGACAGGTATGGAAACAGTTTAGAGAGACCTATGTTCAATTTTGGACGCAAAAATGAGCAGAAGAGGAAAGTTAGTAACAGCTATTATTGGTTTATAATTAACTACTATTTATCACCTTACGAAATTAAGCTCAAAAGTAAGTCGACAGATCCTATCAGTAGAATAAATGCAACAGTAACAGAAACAGAAAAATCATATCACCACCAGGCAGTAGTTCGTCTGCTTTCATACCATCCAAGAGATGGTAGTCGCAACATACGGGATGACAATAATTACTTTTAAAAGTACTTCATCGTAAAACTATTTTAAGAATAATAACACATATTTTATATCAATACCTTATTGGATGTTTGATATCTTTTACAACTGTTACACCTCCTGCATTAAGAGTAGATCCTTCCATAATACTAGCGTCCATTTCCACTTCTCCAGATAAATTTAATACTGATCCGTATCCTAAAATAAAGGCAATACTGAAAAATATTTAAAACATTTTGAATGGGAATTTTGAAATTAATAATTTAACATTCTACTATTAAACATCATGAAGAAATTAGAGGAAAATCCCACTGAACCTCTAAAAATCATACGAACAAGCTGAAATGTGCTGAGATGGTCAATTTTGGGATCCCAAAACTTTTTAGCCTGGGGAAGCCTACTCTCGGCTTCCCCCTAAACATTCAATGAACCTGTCCACCTATACGCTCGTGAATTGCACCAATTTATATTATTACAGGGGCAAATTGTATGGAACTATTTTACTGCTAACTTATGTACATTGGCGAAGCATATGCAATAAAAATTACCCCGGTAAGAATTTACTTCTGATATTTAACATTGGTGCCGTTAACTCTTAGTTCAATTTGTAGATGAGTTACCTTTAATTGAAAACTGTACGACTATACTAGCTACATTGTTGTTAAATAATATGTTATCTTGAATATCCTTGGGCAAATGTAGCTGATAACATGGCTGCTTGACTATTAAATACTATAAAAATTGATCCTGATATTTCATAGACAACCTGACTCAAAAATCCGAAAGTTATTAATAATAAATGTACAATTTTACTCAGAAATAAAATAAAATTAGAGTATATTATCTTACCTGCGTTGAAATTTGCATCATCCTCCATATATATTACAGCCTGCTCAACAGCATCCAAAGCACTACCGCCCTCTTTTAAGATTTTAAATCCAATTTCCATAGACTTTCTAAGCCCTTGAATTTTGCCTTCATTTCTAGAATCAGGAATATCTCCAGCCCCGCCGTGAATTAACAGTATTGGCTCCATTTTAACAGAAACTGGGAAAACACTTTATTTAACAAATGCAATTGTATTGTAAAGTTTATTTGGAATATTTGAGTATTATATTATTTAATTTCAACAAAGACTGATTATATATTAAATCGTTAGTAAATAAAATATTAGTCAATTGATAACGTGATTCATTGTTCTGTGCTAATTTAGGTATTTTTTCAGATAACACTGAGAAGATAATCAGAGAGCAACTAAGTAAAAGTAATCGATAAGAATAACGATATTTATTGCCTTTGCTAGAAGTTCAACTTTTACCTGAAGCATTCATATAATAAAAAGTGATATGCTTTTAATGATAGTAAACCAAAAAATAAGGATGTACATAAAACACAGATCTTTGTTTGTACACAAAAATGAGATACAAGAACTTTCAAAACATTTTGAGATGTTAAAAGTTCCCACACAATATTATTTTCACTTACACACTTAGTAAGATTTTGTAGTAGGACGTTATTATACGAGGATTGTTCAGAAAGTAAAGAAGGATTACGCATCACGCGCGGCGCCGGTCCACCTCCATCAATATAAGTCTTGTTAGTGTGTGGTCACGCGTCTTTGTTCCATAACATTTTGAAATGTAGACGCCCATTGAAAATCCCGCCAAATATGAGTACATAGTGCGACTCCCCACTGAAGGAATCTTCAGTGAAAAAATTATGTATTATGTTTAACCAAGGAAGAACCAATTTGCACGATGAAGAATGGAGTGAGAGACAGAAGAGGTTTAAGACACTTTAACCACATTGCCAGAGTATTTTCCATGCATGATAATCCTTGGAGTGGTATCATGCAAACTCGACCTCTAAACCAAAAAAGAAAAACCGAATTTGAATACAAGAAAACTGATGGCAACTGTTTTTTGGGACCTTAAGGGTTTAATCCACATACAGTTTATGTTTAGAGGTGAAACAATAAAGTCATAAGCGTATAGCGAAACTCTTCAAAGACTAAAACATGCAATACCTACAGAATAAACGACGTGGCATGTTTTAGACGAAGGTATTTCTGATTTACAACAATGCTCAGCCCCATGCATCGGCAAGAACTCCGAAAGAACCGCAACGTCTACAATGGGAAATTTTCGATCATCCTCCCTATATCCCAAACTTCGCACCTTCCGATTATCATCGGTCTTTCCCAGCACTAAAGGAATTCTCGAAAGAAAAGGAGTTTGAAAACCACGAAAAGTTCAAAGATGAAATGGTAAATGATTAAGATTATGTTTTTTACTTTGAATTTAATGTTAAATTTTTATCCCGAATAAAGGATAATGGATTTTGCACATTTTGATCGTATCATTTTTATCACAAATATGTTAATTGAATACATTTTAGAAAAATTCTGAATGTAATTTCTATAATGTAAAAACTAATATAATCTTTTCCGCAAATCGCCAGGAAATTTTGACATTCCTGTCAAAATTTCTTGAAGAAAAAGTCGGGACTTCCTTACTGTAAGGAAATGTCATTTCCTTACTGTAAGGAAATGATATTTCCGTACAGTTGTTAGTGTTCTACATAAATGATAGAAAACACATTGCTTATAAGGAATTAATTTATATTTTGAAAACATCAAGTCATTGCTGAATACATTTTTAAGATCAATTTGTTATATTTACAGTAATTTGACAGTTTTGGAGGAACACTCTTAGAACTATGAGAAACATTTTGGACAACATGCAGGTGGAAGTGTCATTTTGTTGAATATTTTGTACTGTGAAAATTTTATTTGCCACCTCAACCTTATTGTTAAGCGATTCTTCGATATATCCTTCAGCAACGTTTGATGACTTCCATCCGCCATGCCTCTTTAAACTAGTTATGTCGGCACCAGAGTCAACCAATATTGTTGCAGAAGACCGACGAAAGCAGTGACCAGTATATTCTGTCGGATTTACCAAGTTCAAATAAGTAGCAATTATTTTGGGCATTTTTCTAAATTGATGAATTCCTACCACTTGTCTACAACCCTTTCCGCTTTGATATTAAAGAAAAATCGGTCACTGTTCATATTTTCTGGTCTTAACCAAACATACTTTCGATAAACATTCAAGTAGATCTGATTAATTACAAATGATCTTGGTTTGTTGGTTTTCGAATCAGGTATGCTGATTAAAAGCTTAGATTCTAAGTCTTCTATATCGTGTACAGTCATTCGGACTAACTCATCCATTCTACAGGCCCCAGAAATACCAAATATTACAGCCACCTAAAAAATAAATAAAGCCATAATCTAAATAGAAATTAAAACCTTGTAAATTACCTTAATCATTAAATTTTCTTTATCTGGAGCTTCCTGGATAAATTTTTCAATTTCTTCCTTCGTTAAAATCTTAGATTTCTTTGCCCTATAACCTTGAGCTTGCCGTTTCAATAAAGAACGAAGTTTTGAGTATGTAGATATATCTACATTGTGTTTAAGTGCAAGGGTTGACTTCAGCATTGAATAATTGGCCCATAATGTTGAAGATTTCATCTTTAAACAAAGGTCTAGGAAGTATGCCATTACAACATTTTCTGAGAAAGAACTCGTATTTTTACTCATGCGATAATCCATAAAACGTCTGTATGCATTTTCGTACTTTTCTCTTGATTTCTTTGGCAATAATTCTAATGAAGCAGTATTCACTGCCTCAACCAGCTCTGGAGGAGTCCCAGGAATGGAAATTTCATCATCACTTATCATTTTACTTTCGAGAACACCAGCAATTAAATTTATAAGCGTCAAGTTTGACAATTCAACCTCAATACGTTTCCATAGTAACCCAAGTAATTTTATTAGGAATTTCAAAGCACCATTTATTTGGGAATAAAATTATCGCGTTTTTTTTAAATCAATCAATATCTGTCGAATTTTAAAACGATTTGCGGAAAAATAGTATGTTTACCTCGTAGGAAAAGCCACATTCCTGGACTCTGTGTTGCTAAGTCTCGGCTTGCGCCTTGCTTGCTAAGTCGTCCAGGAATGTTAAGCTTTTCCTACCCGGTAAACAATGTACTATTCCTTTTTTGACTTTGTACCTTCTACCGTCACTACAGTTAGCCAGTAAAACTAACTATTTTAGGATTTTTTTTCTTCGATTAGTTTGGTCTCCTGCATCACCTTCTTAAAGCCATTAATTCATCATGATTGCAGACGTTATCAGCTGACATTAATTTACAGTAATTTTTTAGCAATGTCACAGTCTTACATAATACATTATATTACCGTTCATCGAAGCCAGAAAGCGGCGAACTGAACTGCCTCTAAAAAACATTTGTCACAATGACAAATACTAAGCAGTTGTATTCTGTAACTTAAAAAAAATAGCAAATTTGCCCACCTCTAATACTGACATTTATATAATAGGTTTTTTGCATGACTGTGGTTCCTCCTTAAAATTTTTAGCGAGACGCCTCTGGAACATTCCACAGTAAACAATGTATTCTGTGGTTCAACACGTCCATAGATAACAGGCTACCATGGACGTCCTAACTTTTATGATGTATTCTGTAATTTGTTGGAAGTACAACTCGTTCTTATCCAATTTCACTTATGAATGATATATTTGGTATATAAATAAAAATATCCTATATCTAAATATATATTTCAATATTTACCTGATGTTAAACTTTCTTTACACGATTATCTAGCCAATTAAATGAATTGATTAAACGACAGCTTCTACTTTTTGTATAATTATAATTTATAATCTTTCTGGGGCGGTAGATTAGGCCAGCGAATAAGGAAGGAAAATCACAGTTCACTGTGATTGGCCAGGAGGTCGAAGCACTGCAATCCGTGTCACACCAGCTAGTTTCCAGTGGCGCAGTGTAAGCGGTACACTGAAAACAACGTGTCACAATAAGGTGACGTTACGCCATATTTTTTTAGGTTTGATTCAGGCCTTTACTTTAAAATATTTTAGCACAAAGTTGCTGTTTTTACAGTAGATTATTTTAAATTAATTAACTACACAAAACTTCAAAAGATGGTCACCTCTCACATTTCTCTGCCCCAGTGCATTTTTTCCTAATACCCCTTCAATATTTTAGTTAGATGATCCTACTTTAGCGTTTAAAATCTTCTAGGATTGTAGTTCACGACTAGGAATAACGCTTACAGTTTCTTCTAGAAGCATAGAATCTGGCAATCTTGTGAGGCTGTTGTAGGAACTATATCTATATAACATTTTAATAGATATTATTCTGTCGTCGACCATATCATATCCAATCATGCAGTTGTTCAGTTTGGAGGGTACAATTATTGCTACTCCATTTGTACTTGCATTATCTGGGCCTAAAAAGTAGAAGACGTTGCCAGAAGTTGTTTTAAAATTATCTTTACCTCTCCAGTGAGTTTCTGAGCGTTCTAATACCCAAAGTGTGTGGTTTGCCATTTCTTTTTCAAGTACTTGTAGCTTTCCAGAGTTTTACATCAATCATTGAACTTTCCATATCCCTGCCATACTTATACAATGGTTGTCAGACCAACAGTTACTTGTGCTGCACAGGTTTGAAGGCGTCAGCTATAGAGGTAAACTAGACCTTCCTCCTCTACCCATACATATAAGGAAGACGCACTAGAAAAACTAACTCCAGCTCAGAATCTAATATCCGGCAACCTAACTGGGCATCTATAGAATTTAAGAGTTGGAACAATCATGAAGATGATGACGGATATTATGTGTGCAAGAAAATATTTTGAAACTTAAACTAAATAGTATTATAAGGAATTATGAGTTAATACAAATGATAACAGGTGTCCTTATGTTACATAATGATGGATAAAAAACAGAAAAGGAATTGGGGTTACTGGTCCTAACACCAGACTGTCAATAGCCTGCGAAGATAACTTTTAAGTTAAGTCCCCTTTTCTCAGTTCATTGCAATTTGTTCGAGCTATTTGTATTCGTAGTAAACGAAGTTCATATTTTACTTGAACATAGTTCAAGTAAACGTTAAACAGGTCTGGTGACAATACGAATACCTTTCTAACTCCTCTTATAATTTCAATCCTATTGGATGTGTTCAATAATGCGCATTTTGCATAATCTCTGGATTAATATTCTTCTTCTATCGATTACCTTCCTGACCTATCTCTTTTTTATTCCATTCTTTTTGTCTATTTTGTGTCTATTCATTTGTAGTGCACTGTACGTTACATTTTCTTCTAATGTCTTCACTTCTCTTTCGATCTCTCAGCGTATTTCCTGTAAAAATACTGCAGATTGAGGGATCTGAATTGCATAGTCATTATTTTTTAGTATAAAGGCCGCTGTATGTACGATATCAGTTCTTGATGCATCAGTAAAAATCTTGTTATAGCCAGTGTAATCTGATATCCGTCCTTAATATAGATTATGGGATTCGAGGTACTCCTTGTATATGTAGATCATGAGAGATATATTAATAGTGTGGGTATTAGCAGTCCAGGGATGTATAGCTCGTTGTGTAGAATAAGAATATGCTAGCTGCTCTAGGTTAAAACCATATCTTGCTAAAAGTTCTTTAATGGGTGGATATTTTAATTTTTTATGGTGATGAGTAGGTGGATGTGTTTTGTAAAGTGCTGCATTATGTATTATGCTGCAATCTGACAGCATAATTTAAATAAATCTGTTGTCTTTCGTATTGGCAGGGGGTTCATCTAGGATAACCTGAAAACAGAACTAGTTCGGTAAGCACCCAGAACAAGAAGCGCTACAACGGCTAATAGATAGAATAAACACTGAAGGAGAACGACTGGACTTAAAGATTAATACAGACAAGACGAAGGTAATGGTGTTTAGTGGAACACGAAATATGCAATTAAATATAAGAGTAACTCAATGACGTATAATATATAGACCCGGTGAACGCTTTAAAAAGTGTCCACAACATGATTACCTTTGTTATTGTTTATTGTTTTGATACGAAGACGCACGAAGTTCATGATTCCTTACGAAGCATCACGAAGTTGATCTTGTGTTTGAAAACATCATGGACGTTGAAAACATTTTTGTGTGTTTACATATTTTATGTGACAAGCAAATTTTATTTTAAATTGTTGAGAGTTATTTACTTACTATTTTAGTAAAATGCCATACTATTTTATCAAAATAATTATTTCTCTTATAGACGAGAACAAAAAGAAATCATAAATATTTCATTTTAATTAAAAAAATAATTATTGTCATTAACATATGAATGAGCACGCCTCTGTTTTGGTAAACATACCTTCAACCTTGAGCGGAGATCTTTCGGACACCCGATTATATAGCGAGAATAGGGGACTGCTTATAGCGGCTTCCCAAGGTCGGCGATATTACGGACGTAAGCGGACCAGCACGCACCACGCACCGTGGGAAGGGTCTCGTCCGTGGTAGCGCAGGCACGTCTGTGCTGGTCCGTCCTATCCATCTAGAGTCGGTAACATCAAAGGTGAGGTACATGCTCGTGCGACGCGATCCTAGCGCGTCTGTGTTTTAACAGACAAGTGCAAGTCAGAAGTTTTTCATTCCCTGACACGAGTAGGTGTCTGTAGTTTTGTCAAAGTTGTTTTGCAGTTTTTTGCTCAAAAATGGAATGGACAATCGAAGTTATTTTTGATTTTTTAAATTTGTATCAAAATGAAACAAATTTATTTCTACGGCACCAGAGCATAAGAAACGGAACCGATATATACAATGTATGGAACCGAATAAAACATCAATTGAAGAATAGTACTATTTCGATTAAAGAATTAAAAAAAGAAGAGAAATAATTTAATGCCGAATTTAATGTTTACAAGCATGAGTGGCCTTTTTATGATATAATTAAACAATACTGTCACGGACCTACACAGACTGTCACGGACCGTAGGAAGAGCTCTGTCTGCGGTGCGTTCTCGTCCGTGCTGATCGGCTGTCCGCGATGATCTGTAGAATCGTCGATCGTGGGAAGCCAGTGTTAGTCTATATATTATACGTCATTGGAGTAAACAATAAGAAAATCCACAAGGAAAAATTCCTGTAGCTGGCTGTATACCACGTATAACAAAAAGAGGTTAATCTTTGTAAATGGGTATATTTATTTAAAAAACCCTTAAAAGGGCCACATCAATAAAACAAACGTTTTCGGACCACACAGTCCATCATCAGGTTATTAAAATCGAAAATGCTAGGTCATAATGCCTGAGCCACCAAAATATTAGGGTAAAAACCCTTTAAATTACATTTAGTTATGAAATGTTGTACATTGTGTTATATTTGTGTTATAGTTATACACAGTTATTTTATAACACAATGTACAACATTTCATAACTAAATGTAATTTAAAAGGTTTTTACCCTAATATTTTGGTGGCTCAGGCATTATGACCTAGCATTTTCGATTTTAATAACCTGATGATGGACTGTGTGGTCCGAAAACGTTTGTTTTATTGATGTGGCCCTTTTAAGGGTTTTTTAAATAAATATACCCATTTACAAAGATTAACCTCTTTTTTTTTTAAACAATAAGAATAACCAAAAGGTCACCAAGTTTAATTATCTCGGTAGTTAGATAACTGAAGATCTAGATCCACACATAGAGATACATAGCAGGATTGAACAAGCCAGAACAGCATTTTCTATGATTTTCTAGATGTAATCTATTAAGGATGGAAAGCAGATCTTGCCAGCAAATTAAAAGTATTCGAGCAGACCACAACTGCTCCGGTTGGGACAAAAGCTCCCACTGCGTTTTTAACGTCTATCATTTTCTTGAGTCTCTATTATTTTGTCCATAAAAGTATATTAAAATTTACTTCTGTCTTACAATTTTTGTAAATAAAATAAAACATCCATCGAATAAAAAGACTTTATTTATCGGTTTACAAAACATATTAATAATAAAATGTAAATATAAAAAATTACAAGATGAGTTCAAAAAAAAAAATTAACGACTAGATTAATAATTACAAATATATAAACAGTATATTATAAAACAAACGGCTCAATGGATGGAATAAAATTCTATATATACATACAATAAATTTCAAATTAATTTTTGGCAAGAATTCAATAACAACTATTCACAACAAATGTAAACGTATATATTTTTATTTTCAACCTCATATAAAAACAAACATCAGTGTATTGAGTGATTTACAAAACGAATGAGAGTGCGCATATTGTTTTTTGTACGTTTCAAATCCATTCAGAATAAAAAAAAACAACATAATCGTTTATTTTTCAGTAAATGATTTGCTTCGTTAATTTATATCACACATATTTGCTTGCTTGCTTGATTTGTATAAAATGTCCACTGGAAAATTGGGAATAATTTTTGAGCATCCCTTGTTTCTTCCAAATGACGTAGTAGTTTTACTGGACGAGCAGGGCGGGTTAGCATTAGTGCTAACAATCCTATTCTGTAAAAAGACACCTAAATTTATTTAGGAATATACACTTAGCTTTAAGTTAAGTATTAACAAAATAAAAAGCACACATGGTGATCCTACAGGAACTGAGAGAGAACATTTTGCATCTATACAGCTGCCACAAAACAAATTTATTCTTAACAAAACAGAAAAACATATATCCTAAGGGACTTAAAACCAATAAACCCACGAATCAGCTACTTAAGAATAAAGGGAAAGTTTTCTATTAGCATCATACATGTAAACGTTTAACAGAAGACAAAGATGATGACAATGATCAATTTTATGTCGAACTGAAAATCGTATACGACGGATTCTCCAGAGACAACATTAGGATCATGATCTAAGATCTCACGGCAAAATAGAGATGGAAAATTCAACTAAAAATATGATAGCGTAGATTACTTTTTATGATGACTTCACCAGACCGGACAACAAAAAAACTACTTATTTTGTTGCTACCTGTCAATGGCATATAATTCCCTCGGAACAGAAGATCACATACCTCTCTCAAAGAACAAGAAATAAGACACCATGAAACTCCTTCAGTTCTGGAAGTAAGTAATGCAATCAGATATGTATCCAGTTATGTATTCCTGAATCCAGGAATTCCATTAATAAATACAATAATTTATTATTCCCATGTAATAGTATTTTGTAAAAAAAAATTGACAAGGTCATTTAGTTTTTTTTTTCAAAAAATAATTTCATTATTCTCTATGTTTGCAAATCTGTAATAAACATAACTAAAAACAGCTGTACAATTTAATCTTCCTTGATGTTAAATGCCACATTACTTTCATTATTCCTTTAGCTCTCTTTGTTGTAAATCACACAATATAAATAGAAAAACCTTATAAAACTGTGAAATAATTTTTAAAATGTTAATGTAATATCACAAGGTGTCCGCTGTTTGCTTGAGAAAACTCCAAAGACACACTGTGCATTGAATTTCGATCATTTATTATTGCACAAGCGTTTAAATACAACCGTTTTGCATTTTTAACCCTTTCAGTCATCATGTATCTATACAGCTCTGCATATTTGACAGTTAATGAAGTATTAAAAAAGGAAATAGTCATTTAGACAACTTCAATCTTTCGTGACGGTATTGCAGGATTTTCTAAATGAAAAGACTCATCGTTATCACCGTTCAATATTTTGAGCCACTCAGAGTCATACTGGCATAAGTTAAAAAATTAAAATTTTGACTAATACCACTTTTTCGCTTTATTAGGTTGCTATCATTTGACAAAGTGATTTAAGTCTAGCTTGTGTTATGACCGCTAGAGAGCTCGTATATGTTTTAATACAGACTGAATCTGTATTTACAAGTGGAATAGTGGTACAAGTCTGCACGGTCTGGATTCAGACGGTGTTGAAATTTAAAAAAGCTAGGGTTGTGGCTTGATCCATAAATGCGCTAATAATCAATTATTTGTGTCATGTATAAGCTTGCGATCGTTCATGGAAAAGAACAGCAGTAAATAGAGATGTTTGGAGAGGTTTAATGAAGGAGGCCAAGGCCCGGCTTGGGCTGTAGTGCCATTGGATGGATGGATAAGCTTGCGATAAAGTTCAAAAAGGAAAAAAATACAAAAGGCAATCCTTTGAGCCTTTGATATAATATTAACACATTTTTTACCTTTGTACTCTATCACATACTCTTCGATAAATAAACTCTTCTAAAACAGTCCAGTTTTTAACCCTGCTTAGAAGCGTCGTTTTCACAAGTGTGATGTCCAGAAAGGATTCACTGTCCCCTCTCACGAACGTCGGCACTTTCCCACCATTTACTAGTGAAAGCATGTACGATTCTTTGCATCAAGTTACAGACCAAGACGACAGCCACTTTCTCCGTCCTCATCTCTCGCACTACCAAGTCTGCATAGTCCTTGTATGCCCAAAGCGGGACGTTTGGTAAAATGTAGCAATTGTAAACCAGGGCCCCGTTCCTCACGATATACCCAGTGATGCCTGCATTTCACCACATACATTGCCGCATCAGTGCTTTTGTTCCTTATAATTCCTTGTCGAGAAACTAGTTTAAATTAGGTTCCTGGTAGAGAATTCATAGCCTTGCCTGCGAGCAATTGCTTCCGTAAAATCGTGTACAGCCCCTAGGGCTGCCAACGTTTATTTGAAGAAATTCCTTGATGGTTTCTTTAACTTCTTTTTGCCTTTGCTTTGGTTTCTAGGCTTCTTTTGGTTGACACCAACGAGGTACTCTACCATATCTCTCTTTATTTATTCTGTAGACGCTTGAGGGTTTGAGTTCTGGCCTCTCTTTTCGATTACCATCCTTTTATTTTCATAGCATATTGTTCTCTCTGCTCTATGGTCGGACTATTTCCAGGTTAGACAGTATGTCTCTTCTTTGTATTCTTTGGCCTTATACTCTTCTACGCATATCTGCTTCCTGTGTTCGAATTGTAGTCATCTGTAGCATCTTTGTGTCCTGGACAGAATATAGAACTAACCTATCAATTCTGGAAGAGCTGCATATAAAAGACCGACTATTAAAAAAAGTAAACCGAGCATGTCTAATTTACTTCGGCCACATAGCTAGAAGAACAGAGACCATGGAACTATTGGTAGTAGAAGGAAGGATAAAAGACCGAAGTCAAAGAAGATCTCCAACACGATGGGTAGACAAAATAAAGACTCTGGTGGGAAAATCTCTACACAAAGCCGTCCATATGGCACAGGATCGTAGTCAATGAAGAGTGTCACCAAGCCCTGACAAGGGCCCAAGGAATGAAGAGAAGGAGTGGCATGTATACTCTTTCTCTCACCTTACACGAAACTCCATCCTGTTCGGTTGGACAACCTGTACAGCTCAATCTTGGCCCCTTCTTTGTAAGCCCAACGGGGGTGATTTTATTGCCATCCTTGCTATCTGTCATCGCTAGCATTCTGATTTCGGACTCACGTCCTTCAATTTACTTTCCAACGTACCTTAGGACATCCTCCCGGGGACGTCCCCGTCAATGTCGAGATATCCACTGCGACTTTGTAGCCTCTTACGTCTTTCAGAGTGTTTCCATCCCTTTTCCTCATCCTATCCGCCTTGTCTTTTTCCTTGCTTTCAGCAAAAGGTCGCCTATTCGCGTTTTCTTGACTCTTCACTTGTATGCCATCTTTTTTTGGTATATTCTTCCTTTGAACTCTAATAATTCGGCATATGACTTTCCATCTCCTTTCACCATAATCTTCAGGACGAACTTCCGTTCTTGTGCCTTTTAGTTCACTAAAATAACTACGGATCCCGTGCCTTGAAAGGCCGCCTCACATATCTTCCGTATGTATTATTTTTATATCCTATTTCGATCTACAGGGTTATTTTCCGTGTCCCGAGGAATAAGATGTCTAAGTCAAGATGTCAAGATGTCAATCTAATACAAATGCTAAGCCTCCTTAGCATTTGTATTAGATTGCTATGCCCTTTGTCTTCCGTCTTCCTGTTCCTCACTAGCACCAAAAAATTGTCTGCCGCTAGTCCTGGTGATGACTGTGCTGATACGTCACCTACCCGAAGTCGCATCCTCTGCAGACTTCCAATTCGGGTCTTGTCTCTAGCAGCTTCAGAAAGTTCTCATCCTCTCCATAGGTCCCGGAGCTGTCATGGCTATGTTTCCTTTCTTTTGGTAACCTTTCAGTGTGTGTGTGTGTGTGTGTTCTTATAATGTTGGTCCTGCCACTCCATGTCATAATTCCTTTCAACTGTTCGTACTCCTTGATGTCTGTGCTTCTAGTGCTTCCGAGACAATATCCATCCTCCTTCTAGTCCATGAACATTGTTTTTTCTTCCAGACAATAGCTGTACAAAAAAATATTGTTTCTACGTTTCTACATAGCAAGAAATTGAGAAAACACATTTCAGTGCTGCTAACAACTTGATAACCGAAAGGGTATTTCGTAGATTACATAATGATGGCGTCTTTACACACTAGCGCCTAAAATGTAGGTAAATATGAATAGTAGTAAAAATGTATTTATTATAATCGATATAAAAACAGTTTGAGCAGCTGCCTGTTGAAAAAAATTTAACAATGCGTTAAAGATATCACCATTCCCCAAAGATAGTGGAGAAATAATTTAAAATTATGCTTTAGAAAATATTTGACATTCACTAACTACTTTTGTTTTCCTAATGATTACTATGTCGTGAACTACTTGAAGACCTAAATAATCGTCTTAGGGTTTGTAATGGTCAACACTATGACAACTACCACGTATTGTAACCAACATTCCAAGTTTTTCATTTCTTGTCCCTTTAAAGTTTAAAACTAATTGAAGTAATTTAGCAGCCAAACGAAAACCAGTAAGATAAATCGATTTCATTCTAAACCAACTTTATCAGTTAGTCAACGATACTCCTTATTAAAAAACTTTAGAAACAGATTAAATCAACTTATATTGATGTGTCGTTTCTACGTATATTCAAAACTAACTTTGCTCTACCTCTGATGAAAGAAGTAATTCTGGATAGTCGATTTTCTACTTTATCTTTGCAATGACACATTTACGTCAATGACAAACTATTTAAGCGTTCGTGCTTAGTTGGTTATGATACGTTATTGATTTTGTAAATAGAGACCAGCATCTTTTGTCTCCTTTTCGTGAACTGAAATATTTATTTAGAAAAGCCTAAACTCAAGCAGAGATCTCAGACCAAATTAATGGTTTGATTATAGCCACAATTTTTAATCTTTATAGCTGGCATGATTGCTCAATGGGTTAAGGGATCCGTTTCGACTTGAGAAGTTATTTTTCAAACGCCGCAATATATCCAAAGTGGATATGCGGTTTTGAATTGGTCAAAAAATACAACTGGTCGATCTAATAAAGAAACGCAAGCTGGAATACTTCGTTCACCTTATGAGACCTCATTCAACGAAATATCCAAGGTAAACTGGTCCTGGTAAGAGAAAAATATCATGGCTGGTGAAAAATCGAAGACAATGGTATGGAAAATCGACTCGATCATT